TTTTTTTTTTTTTTGAAACGGAGTCACACTATGTCTCCCTCAGTAGAGTGATGTGCTGTCACAGCTCACAGCAACCTCAAACTCTTGGGCTTAAGCGATTATCTTGCCTTGGCCTCCCAAGTAGCTGGTACTACAGGCGCTCACCACAATGCCTGGCTATTTTTTTGTTGCAGTTTTCATTGTTGTCTAGCTGGCTGAGGCCAGGTTTGAACCTGTCAGCCTGGGTGCATGTGGCCAGCGCCATAACCACTGTGCTACAGGCGCCAAGCCAACACTGGTCTCTTTTCTGAGGATATCTCAAAGAAAAAAAAAAAAGATACCTGTGGGATGCAATCAGCAAAACTCATGTTCTCCAGAGCAAAAAACTGGTTTCTTCAACACAACAACAGAATTAGAAAGAAAATAAAAGAGAGGCAGAGGGAAAATCTGAAGATTGAAAGAGACTCAGAAAACACATAAAATGAATTTTGTGAGTTTTTCCAATGTGGGAAAACTGAAACTGCATACATTGGCAGCGGGAAGGTAAAATGGTACGGCTGCCTTAGAAAACGGTGTGACAGTTCCTCAGATGACTAAACACAGTTACCCTATGACTCAGCAATTTCACTCCCAGGGATAAACCCAAGAGAATTAAAAATGTAGGTCCACACAAAAACTTGTACACTAATGTTCTCAGAAGGATTACTTATAATAACCAAGAAGTAGCTATCCAAATGCTCTTCCACTGATAAATGGATCAATAAAATGAGATATAGCTATACACGGGAATACTATTCAGCAATAAAAAAGGAATGAAGATCTGATGGGACCACAGGTTGTGATTCCAGAATTAGCACATCCAGAGAGACAGAAAGCAGGCTGGTGGTTGCCTAGGTTGGGGGTTGAGGTTAAAGGGACAAGGGAATTGAATATACTAAAAACCATAAGGTGTACACTTTTTTTTTTTTGAGACAGAGTCTCAGTTTGTCACCTGTGGTAGAGTGCCATGGTGTCATAGCTCACGGCAATCTCAAACTCCTGGGCTTAAGAGATTCCCTTCCCTCAGCCTCCTAGTAGCTGGGATTACAGGCGCCCACCACAAGACCCTGCTATTTTTAGAGATGAGGTCTCGCTCTGACTCAGGCTGGTCTTGAACCTGTGAGCTCAGGCAATCCATCTGCCTTGGCCTCCTAAGTGCTGGAATTACAGGTGTGAGCCACCACTCCCAGCCCTATTTTTTTTTTTTGAGACAAAGTCTCACTCAGTCGCCCTTGGTAGAGTGCTATGGTGTCTGTCATAGCTCCCAGCAATGCCAAACTCTTGGGCTCAAGCGATCCTCTTACCTTAGCCTCCCAAGTAGCTGGGACTACAGGCACTGGCCACCACACAGGGCTAGCTTTTAGAGACAGGGTCTCACTCTTGCTCAGGCTAATCTCCAACTCCTGAGCTCTAGTGATCCACCTGCCTCGGCCTTCCAGAGTGCTAGGATTATAGGCATGAGCCACCTCAGCTGGCCCGAGGTGTACACTTTAAATGGGTAAATTGTGTGGTATATGAATTATATCTCAAAGATACTATTTTTTAAAAAATAAAACACATTTTCCAATTTGTGAAATATGGGCCTTATTTGAATCTTGATTTTTTCAAAAGGAAAATCCTGTATAGCCAGGTTCAGTGGCATAGGGAGATTTTGTAATTCAGTGTGGCCACCAGTCACAGATGCCTTGATGTTTGTTCCAACAAATAAAAAAATCCACTGAAACAGTCCTGATTAGAGAAAAGTTACATCAAGGATGCTTTGTCCTTGAAGAGAAGCTCTTCCACTAAATGGTATAAGGAAGCTCTACTATGTAGGGGGCAGCCCCTGTGTCAGGAGGCCTGGCACCAGAAAGTGGATGGATCTGTGACCACTGAGGTGAAAAGCAAGGTCAAGTACACACATCCACTCTTGGGTAAAGTGCTGGGCCCTGTGTATAAGGCCCTGGGACCCTGATGTCCCCTGTGGAGGAGCCAGGACTAGGTGGGATTGAGGAGGGTGGGCCTGTCACTTACTCTTTCTGGATATGAGTCCAACCTAAAGTAATATTTTAAAAGAAAGAGATGTGTGAGACTGGGCATATCTTCCTGCCTGGAAAGCTCTGGGGACCTCCAGAACCTGGCGTAAAGAGAGGAAGCCCTGTGGGGATGGGCCGTGAGGGAGGAGTGTGGACTTCTCCTGGGCAGATTAGATTGGGAAAGAGGAGAGAGAATCAGATCCCACATTTAAAAGACTCATTTGAGTAAAAAGACCAAAGGTCACAGATGTGCCCTGAGCTTCTGTATGGGCCTGAAAAAGCCTGGCAGGTACAAAGTGTCATCACCTTTGCTCTGGGCCCTGAATGCCACACTGTGGTCACACTGTGCCTTCCTCTGGTAGCATGCATGGGGTGAGAGGACACTGAAGCTTCTTAGATGGGCCTCTGTACTCCTCCCTCGGGCAATAAGCTTGGCTGGGGCCCCTTTGGAGGAGGTCAGGACAACACCCTGGCCAAGGACAGGATATACTCAAAGCCATGGGCAGCACCATGGCTGCCAGGTTCACCCACAAACATATTGAATTCCCTTTGTCCCTGGGCTCCTGACACTGTTGGCCTGTCCAGGCACTTGCAGAACTTCTACTTGGCTCTGGTCCTTGTGTCGAACAGCCTCAACCCCCTGCCTCTCAAGGGCCAACCCTGGGCAGCTGGAAAGTATAAGGTGGGGCACAGGGTTCCTACACTCTCATCTCCATCAGCTTCTACCTCCCAGGCCTCCTCCTTCCCACTATCTCAGATTCTGCCTCTGCAGAATTAGACAGATCTGACCTGGGTCCCTGTCCTCCCTCCGTGGGAGCCTCACCCTGGCCCATGACAAGGAGAAGCAGGAGTCCACAGGCCACGGTGCTCAGCCATGTGCAAAGTTGGTCCAGCCACATGGTCTGCTCACAGGTCTTTTTGCACTGCTGGAGGTCACGGTGCTTTCCACCAAGAGGCTGCCCCTGTCTATCCAGATGGGGTAGACAGTGCCTCACACAGGTCCAGAGTTTGGACTTTGCCCAGAGTAGGCAGGACATGTTGATTTGGGCCAGAGAAAGATGGGCCTGGCAGGAGTATGAGACTGAGTCACCTAGGTCTCATGGGGAGCCAGTGGCAAGCAGGTGCGGGCATGGCCATTTCCCCTCTGCCCGAGCTCCTGCAACACCTGGAATCTTCTCAAACCTGGCATCACTACATTTCTTATCCTTATAGTCACAGGCCTGAAGAGGATGTTGGAGAATCAAGAACAGGGAGCAATAAGTTGTAATTAGAGGATTTCTCTGAAAAGGCACATCAAGATCCCCAGAGATGGAAAAATAGGAACTTCTCCCCTCTCCCTCTCTTCTTTTCTTTCTCTCTCTCTCCTTCCTTCCTTCTCGAGACAAAGTCTCATTTTGTTGCCCTCAGTAGAGTGCCATGTGTCATAGCTCACAGCAACCTAAAACTCTTAGGCTCAAGTGATCTTATACTCTTGTCTCACCCTCCTGTGTAGCTGAGGATACAGGCGCCTGCCAATGCCCGGCTATTTTTTTTTTTTTTAAGAGATGGGGTCTTGCGCAGGTTGGTCTAGAACTCCTGAGCTCAGGCAATCTACCTGCCTCAGCCTCCCAGAGTGCTAGGATTACAGGCATGAGACCCAGGCGAAGAGAAGATTTGGGCGAAGGAAGGAAGATGTGACTGTGCTCTTCATCCTGGATGCTCCTCCAGGCTTTCAGGACTCACTATTTACTGAGTCCCCTTTTCATAGTTATGGTCCATCATCCCCTTGCAGTCCACCTCTGAGGGTCTCCGAGGGCTCCTCCCTCTATCTTTCTGACTTTCAGTTTTCGAGTTCATGGTCATTTACACACTTGACAAACTCTTTTTTTTTTTTTGTATTTTTTAAAATTAAATCATAGCTGTATACATTAATGCAACCATGGAGTACAATGTGCTGGTTTTATATACAATTTGAAATCTTTTCATCAACCTAGTTAACACAGCCTTCACGGCATTTTCTTAGTTATTAAGATTTTTTTTTTTTTGAGACAGAGCTGTTGCTCTGGGTAAAGTGCGTGGCATCACAGCTCACAGTAACCTCAAACTCCTGGGCTCAAGCGATTCTCTTGCCTCAGTCTCTCAAGAAGCTGGGAATAGGCTCGGCGCCTGTGGCTCAAGCGGCTAAGGCGCCAGCCACACACACCTAAGGTGGCGAGTTCGTATCCCCAGCCCGGGCCCGCCAAACAACAATGATGGCTGCAACCAAAAAAATGGCTGGGCGTTGTGGCGGGCGCCTGTAGTCCCAGCTACTTGGGAGGCTGAGGCAGGAGACTCGCTTGAGCCCAGGAGTTGGAGGTTGCTGTGAGCTGTGATGCCATAGCACTCTACCCAGGGGGATAGCTTGAGGCTCCATCTAAAAAAAAAAAAAAAAAAAATCTTATAAAAAAAGAAGAAGCTGGGAATACCCGCGCCCGCCACAACGCCCGGCTATTTTTTGTTGTCGTTGTTTAGCTGACCCGCCCGAACCCGCCAGCCTCAGTGTATGTGGCCGGCGCCCTACTCCCTGAGCTAGGGGCGTCGCCACTTGACAAACTCTTTAACGAGCCTCTGCAAGTCTGAGTGCTGGGTCTGGGCACTCCGGACCTATGGTGCACCAGCAGAGGTTTCTGAAACAGGTTTCTGCCAGGCTAGAGGCAACCTGCCTGGGCACCATAGCGCCTGGCCAGTCTGACTTCCCGGGGGAAATAGTGCCGGGATCAACCTCAGGCGGCCTTTAGTGTCCCCTAAGAACCACCCTGGGCCACTGCGTTCCTGCTCACACAACTACGCCCCCAGGTCCCTTCTCTGAGACTTTGCGATCAGCGTTATCCTGAGTCGTGGCCAGCACGCCAGGGTCACCGCTTCCTTCAAACCCCAGGACGAGTACCCACAGCGGGGCATGTCCCTCGAGCGACCCCGTCGTCACGCCACGCCCCCAGCCCGTTCTCCGGAAGTGCTCTGGTGGGAGCGGAAGTGCATGTCGACTACGGTCGGCTGCGGTGCCGCGATGGTGGGCGGCGGCGGCGGGGGGGTTGGGGGCGGCCTCCTAGAGAACGCCAACCCGCTCATCTACGAGCGCTCTGGGGAGCGGCCCGTGACGGCGGGCGAGGAGGACGAGCAGGTTCCCGACAGCATCGACGCACGTGAGATCTTCGATATCCGCTGCTGCTGGGTGCGGGCGCGGTTGTGGGGCCTTGGGGTGCGGGGGAGAAGCGATGTCCAACAGCTGGTGGAACAGTATTCGGGCCGGGCATTCCTGGCAGAGGTTTCTGAGTGGGCAAAGGCGTAGCGTGCCTTTTCCTTCACTTGCCACATCTTATTCGCTCCATCAATGACCCGGAGCATCCACTGACACTAGAGGAATTGAACGTAGTGGAGCAAGTCCGGGTTCAGGTGAGTCATTCCTGCTGTCTAAGGGGAGAGAGAGTCAGAAAGGTTCAACTGTACACCAGGAGCAGGAGTTTTGTCAGCTCATGCGCACCTTGGGGTATCTTTGGGAAGGAGGATTTTTGTGTCTATTGATGAAACTGAGGCCCATAGAGATTTGATGACTGGTCCTTTGGAAGTAAACTAAGAAGATGGACTCTGGGCTGGAAGTGGCTGTGACCCCTGACATCTCCCTCCTACACCCAGGTTAGCGACCCCGAGAGCACAGTGGCTGTGGCCTTCACGCCCACCATTCCACATTGCAGCATGGCCACCCTTATTGGTCTGTCCATCAAAGTCAAACTTCTTCGCTCCCTTCCCCAGCGTTTCAAGGTCAGTTGAAGCTGAGCCCTGGGGTGGGACAAGCATGAAAGTCTGCTCCTAAGGAGGGGGACAGAAAGAGCATGGACATGGAGAGAATGTCAATGTCAGAGTGCAGCCTGGAACTAGCCGAGATGAAACTGGGAGAAAATTCCAAGTTGATGTGACAACAAGAATGAAGATCTGAAGTGAAAAGTATAGAAAAGTAGTGAGCATGGCAGGGAGGGCAGAGGGGAGCTGTAGATGGGTTTGACCAGCGATGGAGAATAGGTAGGCCTTTGAATCAGTAGTAATTGGCCAGTTATTTGGGTAGAGTTGAAGTGACTGCGTGGGGGGCATCATGGAAGGGCCACAGTCCAAAGGCATGGTTAGGAGAAAGGATCAGCTGGAGGTGATACCTGAGCGTCTGGGGGAGGGGGCAAAAGAGAGGGCAGGTGGGTAGGTGCTCATGCTCTGGTTACTCCCTCCCAGATGGATGTGCACATTACGCCAGGGACCCATGCTTCCGAGCATGCAGGTAAGTGTGGGCTGATGGTGAGGGTTTTGGCCTGGGGCAGGAAGCTGTTTGCAGTTTCCCCCTTGCCACACTGGTCTGTGGGGCGTGAGTGGGATGGGAGACTGAGTGAGAGAAATTGCCAGAGACTCCTTAGTGAAGGTTGTATCCTAGACCAAAGCTGGCCTGAATTGAGTCTCCTATGCTTACCATGTCCTCCCCTCCTGCAATCCCCCACCTCCAATCCCTACCCCACCCCCACCTAACCAAGTACACCAAGTGTGTTAGGATTCAGCAGTACAGGAGGCAGACATGAGCAGCTGAGGGAGGGATTCCAAGAAGGTAGAATAGGTGTGGGCTCAGGTGGTTGGGATAGCCTGATCAAGCTTTGGGATCCTAAGAAGGAGGTGACAAGAAGGCTCAAAGGTGAGGCTGGCTAGCTGGCTAGCATCCTGGCCAGAGCCTGGTTTTGACCCTGCCTTTCCCATTCCCTTCTTTCTACCCAGTGAACAAGCAACTTGCAGATAAGGAGCGAGTGGCAGCTGCCCTGGAGAATACCCACCTTCTGGAGGTTGTGAATCAGTGCCTGTCCGCCCGCTCCTGAGTCTGGCTTTTGGCCCCCAGTTTGCACACCGGTGTCCTGGCTCATGGCTGTGTTTTCTTGAATCACTGACAATGAGAAACTAACATTTTGTAATAAACTTTTAATTTATATTCATTTCTCAGCATGCCTCAGTGTCTTTCATGTTGGTGGAGTCACTTGGAGTTTGGGATGGGGGTGGGGGCAGTGAGTGCCTATGCAAGGTGGTATACTTGCAACTTTCCCTAATCAAAATAAAATAAAAATTGAAAGAGTAGTATGTTAATATATCTGTATTTTTAAAGTTTTTTTTGTTTGTTTGTTTTAGAGACAGGGTCTTGCTCTGTCACCTAGGCTAGAGTGTAGTGGCATAGTTAGCTCATTGTACCTCTAACTCCTGGCCTTGTGCTATCTTCCTGCCTCAGCTTTTCGAGTAGCTGGGACCACAGTTGGCTAATTTTTATTTTTTATAGAGATGAGGTCTCACTTTGTTGCCCAGGCTGATCTGGAACTCTTAGACTCAAGTGATTCTCCCATCTCAACCTCCCTCATAGCTAGGATTACAGGTGTGTGCTCCTACATATACCTGTAGACCTACCACCATCACTAGCTTGGCCAGCTGTTGACACATAGCAACACTAGTCTTATTTATGTATGTGTATATAAATATATATGAGTATGTATATAAATATATATGTGTGTATATAAATATATATGAGAGGGCTGGGCACAGTGGCTCATGCCCGTAATCCTTTGGGAAGGCCAAGGCAAGAGGATTACTTGAAGCTAGGAATTCACAAAACCAGCCTGGGAAACCTAGCAAGACCCATCTCTGTAAGAAATAAAAATTAGCTGGTCACAGTAGTTCCTACTTGTGATTCCAGCCATCTGAGAGGCTGAGGTAGGAGAGTGGTTTGAGCCTAGCCCAAGAGTTGAAGGCTGCAGTGAGCTGTGATGATGCCACTGCACTCTAGTCTGGCAACAGAGTGACACCTTGTCTTAAAAAAAGAAAAAAAATATATAAATATATATATGTAATTGAGAAGACATGACCCTTGACTACATCCTCCATCTGCATAAGAGTAAGTCTAGGTAACCATAGTTCTTTTATCTGGCCAGAAAGTGAGTAAT